ATTGTGGGTGCTTCTCGTGGGCTCGCCACATTGCCAGCGCAGAGGCGTCTCTGAAAAGATAATAAAGAGAAGAAAGTTAGCTTTACCTCGCTTCAACATCGCCTGAATCCGAAAAGATGCGTGTCGCGTGGAAGAGGGCGTCCTAGAAAGTAAAAAGTGTAAAAATTGTCTAAATATACCTTTGCCCAGGCAAAAATGCCAGCTTTCGACGACACCTCCAGGAAAAGGCCGAGCCATTTCAGGGCTTCTTGGCTGTCTAAAACTGCAAAATATAAAACATTAAAGATTTTAATCGTGCAAAAAATTTTTTATAAAATAGAAAAACCGACCTCCTTTCTTCAAATGCAATTCCGCTACCGTAGCGCAGTACAGGGCCCTTTCGATGCCCCTTCTTCCTCCCAAATCATCCGAATCATCCCGCAATAGCTGGGCGGCCTCGTCGAATTTGTTCTGCTCTATCTGGAATCACAAAAATTACTTTTCTCTTCAAAAAGTACGCACCATTACTCTGGCCAAATAGCGAGTTGTCAGCCACATCAACGGCTTTGCCTGTGAGACACGGGCAAGCCTAAAAGATCGTTGAAATTGCAAAACTCCTTTTTCTGACCTTACAGCCTTGACAAGCGACGCCTCGGCTTCCGTGAGATTCCTATTGACGGTGTGCAGATTTCCGAGCACCGAAAGTAAACTAAAAAAGAAAAATACCAAAAAATTGCCTAAAAACGTACCGTATCCTTTCGAGCGTGTGCACATCGCCGGCTACTTTGGGGCGATAGGCGTTGAGGAGTTGGATGGCCTCACAGAGCTGGCCGGTGCAGGCGTGATGAAGGGCCAACCTGGAGAAAATCCTCTTAATTTTTACTTCGCAACCGATCAATAAATATAACGTATTTTTAATGTTTTTAATAGCTTTTGAGTGCTAAAAGGCTACAAAAAAAACTTTTAAACGTCTTTGAAAAATAGGAAATGTTGATATTTTTGGTCATTTTTCATGAATTTTTCCGCGAAAAGTCACAGATTTTCGAAAATTGTCTTTTTCATCTAAAAACTGTAAAATACTATTCTATTAAATCCTTAAAAGATTGAAATTTAAAGCTATTTCAGACATTTCAAAGAAAAAAAATCATACCGTATCACATGCTCAAAGGGGCAGTACGGCTCGATGAGCGGCAATTGCTCGGCAGCCCCTTCCAGATCACAGCCGAACAGTCGAGAGTCGAACTTGATCAGCGCCTTCGCCAGCTTCAAGTGCCCTTTTATCTAAATTTAACTTTTTTATAAAGTGACCAATCTACCGTACCCTATCACTTGCTCTCGGTCCAAATTGTGCGATTGCCCGGTCGACGAGTTGAAGGGCCTGTCCCCATTGACAGTCCAGTGCCAGCGCATACATCGTGTTCACGTTGAAAATTGCCTAAAAACCGTGAATTTTCGAAATTTCTTAGAAAACTTACATGAGCCTCGGTTTCGTGATATTTCGCGTATCGGTCCCCATTATTCGTCCCGTTCCAGCATTTCGCCATCTGGAACGTCTAAATGATTTATTAACTTTTTGGAAGAATTATTCTTATTTGTTTCTAATTTAAATCGATTTATTGATTTTTTTGGGTCTTTCGCATTCTGATGGAGGAACAACTTTTTCTTACATTGAATTTTTCAAATATAAATTGCGGCGGAGTTTCTAACGTATTTTTTTTACTATTCCTAAGCGTAAAAACTTCACACATTTTGTTAAAAATATGAAATTTACTTGATCGAGATGGCCGTGTAAGAGTAGGGCAGAAGACTTGATAGCATCGGCGACGTCGAGGTACGCTTTCTGCTCGCCCGTAGGATCATTTCCACGCATCCAGGCCGAAGTGGAGAACATTGGCGTTACGTTACTAAAAATTAAAAATCATATTCCCACAATTTTACAAACCAATAAGTCGGCTTTCCACTCGAAATCTGGCGAATCGTATCCAGAAGTGTGTCGATAAATTCGACGCATTGGGCCTAAAAATAGATTTTAAATTGCTTAAAAACAAAACAACCTGTGAAATATGCTGAATGGGACAGAAATAGGCGCTCTGCTTGGCCGGATCCTCTGCCTCTTCAATGTAGGCGGTCAGATTCTTGGTGGTGACATCGGCGCCAGGTGGGATGGGCATTCCCTCTTCTTTCTTTTCTCTCAGCACCATCCATTGTCTCTCTTCAACCGCACTCCCATCATAGACATCATCGGATTCTTGGAAAAACTGAAAAATTAGGACCTTTCGGAGCTTTTGCATTATCGGCGGGGGGGTTTTCGGATAAGCCCAGAAATTCCTAGAAACGTAACAAAAGCATTTCTATAGCGTTTTTAGTAAATTTAAATATACTTCACGCCGAAAAAACCCTCAAAAAAAATCTGGACGGAAAATCGTATTTTTTACATTTTGATCAAAATTTTATAAGAATTTTGCTTTTAGGAATCGTGAAAACGGCATAAGAAGACGCCCCCGATAATGGCAAAGCTCCAAAAATCTATAAAAAAGTAAAGTAAAAAATTGTACCCAAATATCCTCCTGGCTCGGGTAGTTGTCGTGTTGATCGGGAATATACTTGGCCGTCGGGTCGGTTCTTTCATTTTGATATTCCAGAATCTAAAATTATTAAAATTTCAGATTAATACACCTTTTATACCTTCTTCTCCGCGACGGCCATCCGGAGAGTGTGATTGTCCTTACAGCCATGCGACAGCATTACCGTCTCGTCCAGCATTGTCCTCGCCATCGCACTAAAATCATCATTTTTAAAAAAATTTAGATTTTGCTTACAAATTGTTGAAATGACGGGCGAGTCGAGAGCGTACGAGTGTCCCAACAGAATCCGCGCTAAAATTTTAGTGTAATTACGAAAAGGAAAATTACTAATTGAGCCAGTGCGTAATCTGTATTCGCCGTCCGCGAGCCATCAAATCATTGTATCGCACTTTCGAGTAGTCAACGTAGGCACACAGCGCATCTTCCGCATTTCGAGCGCGTAGCCGACGCGTTTCCACGACGGAGATGAGAAGGTGCTAAAAACGTAGGTTTTTGTGATTCTTTCGCATTATTCGGGGGGGGGACGAATTTTTCCCATAATTCTAAAGTGCCTATCAAAGTCACAACAAGCATTTTATCAGTGTTTCACGTATAATTTAACCTTCATTTAACAATAAAAATATCTAAAAAATATAAAGTCGACATTTTGGCAAAAATGAGGCATTTTTAAATCAAATTTCGAGAGTTTTTACATTTAGGAATAGTAGAAACGGTTTAGGGAAATTGAATCCCAAGAAAAAAAGCTGATCCCCCACCGATAATGCAAAAGAACACTGAATTATGTCAATCTATTACCACAGCGGCCATGATGGGATAGAGCTGCTTCGTCCGTTCGCAAATGGCCATAATTTCCTCGTCCGTTTCTTGCACTCGACTCGGGCAACGCTAAAAAACCTCCAAAATCTTGTATTTTCAAGCTTTTCGTACCTGCAGCCAATGAAGTCGACTCAACACCCATTTCTCTGCCTGTTTGTACGAGTTGGAGACGTGAGGGTAGAGACTCGGCCTAAAAACCATCAAAAAATCTTAATTTCCGCGTGAAATACTTGTATTGCCAATCGCCGGCCAGATATTTCAGTTGCCTCTCAAATTGGCCGTACACCTCGTAGTCGGTCAGCATTGTCGTCGCCAGACTGAACTGGAAAACCATTTTCTGAGTTTAAAACGATGAAAATTACTTTTTTCAAAAACACAGCCACCAAAGAATTGCCGTTGATGATCGAATTCTTGATGTCGATGCCCAATTCTTCGATGAGAGTGATGTGCTCGCGAAGATCGCCCATTTGAACTTGTGAAATCCTAAAAAAGGTATAAAAACAACTTTTTGGCCTACACTTTGTCAAAATCCCGCAACACGGCCTCGCCAATCTGCCCGGCAACTCGTCGAAGATCTTGATATGTCAACGGGCGGTAGGAGATTAATTGGTAGAACAGCTTGCCGAGCTAAAAACAGTAGATTTTCATGAATGTCTAATTCGACAATACCTCGCACAGCAAAAGCGGGGCTGGATGTTGATTTTCGTGGTCGACAAAGCTCTCCAGCACGCGAATCAGGTAGATTAGCGCGAACTAAAAATGACAGATGAATCTTTCAAGCATTCTTCAAATTACCTGTGGATCTTGTATCGGGTCGATGGCGGCCATGATGTATGGATAGGCATAAAGGGCATCGGTCGGGTTGAAGCCCGCCGGCTGCTCCGACATTACCTGAAAAAACACGTAGGTAGTTAGGAATAATTTAGTTGTAAAAAAAAGGAAAACAATAAGGAAAGAAAGCTTTTTGGGATGGGTGGTTTCGAATGGGCGGCCCGACAGCGCCTACAGACTACAGTTTTGAGCGAGAAGCTGCGAGTCTGCACCACTACCGGAAGTTCTAAAGAAAAAAGGCAGTACAGACGAAATATTTAGGCTAAAGATGGCCGTAAAGATGACCAGGCGGAGGTCCAACATAGGTCTATGCGCTTCCGGAATCTATCGGGGCCTTAAAATGATCTTAAAAGGCCAAAAACGTTCTTTCAGCCAAACGGAAATTGAAAATAGCGCGGGGGATATGGCTGAGACTCCAATTTTCTCAGAAATAGCGGCACCAACAGCAAATCCACCTGGAAAATCAAGTTTGAACGCTCCAAAGCTTCTCGATGAGCCTCCAAATCGAAAATCAGCACCTAGATTTGTCAACACAAGCTCTAAAAATGGCTTGCGCTGATTCTAAATGGATTTTCAACATTTTCTAGCGTTGCGCGCATCTTTTCCTACAATTTCAAACGCCTTTTCGGGCCCCAGACTGCGGGCAGAGTATGGCCCCGGTGGGTCCTATTGATCGCGTGAGAACTGGAGAGTGTCTCCATACACCCCCTGAGGCTATATTCATCAACCACAATTAGCTGTTTGATCCTCTTTTTTTTGAGTGGATTTTGAGCGAGGGCTGGCTGATGAATGGCATTCCAAGCGCCTCGTATCCATGGTCACAATGAACTGGATTATCAGGAACTTCTAAAACAGGTGCGCTAGATGGAAACGGGAAAGTTGGTTCTTTCGCATTAGCGGGGGGGGAGCTAATTTTATCCTATTAGTCCAGAAATACACAGCAACGTCATACTAAGTATTTTCATAGTTTTTAGTAAATTCAACGATAGTTTTAGAACGAAAACTATCCAAAAAATTCAAAAAAATTCGAAATTCGGACATCTTTCGTCAAAAAACCCAAAATTTTTCTACTTTCCTAGAACTCTATTTGAAAAATTAATTCTAGGGGAAGAATTTGGCTCTCCTCGATAATTCTAAAGCTCAGGGAAGTTTTATGTCCAATTTTCTAGGTACAAACCCTTCAAGGAAAACTCTCCGCTAAAACCGACGCTCTATTGAGGCTTGGTAAAGATGTAGAAGAAGCACAAGCCGCTCGGGATTCTTGGAAAGCTCGAGCAGAGACCTATGAACGGAATCTGGAGCGATCTGAGCAACAACTCCTGCACGTGACCAACGTAATGCTGGGAAAAATGATAGCCTAACTGTTTTAGAAACTGAAACACACGACAATGAAAGAGCTAGAGTCTTCAAAAGCAAGAATACAAGCCCTAGAAGCGGAGAATGGACAGTTAAAGAGGCTAGTTGATGATTTGAAGGCTGAAATTCGAGGTGAGTCTAATAAAACCAGAACGAAAACGACTTTCTAGACCTTCAAAAAGACTGTAAAACCTTTCGGCACCAACTAGCCAGGGCCGAGGTCGAGCGGATAGAGGAAAATGCTGGGATTGTAAAACTCGAAGCATCTCCGGCGGCCAGGGTATGAAAATACAGAAGGTTTTTCTGAACAAAAACCCCTAGAATTCCGTAAGGCTTAGCTCAGAGCAGACAAGTGATGGGGAAACGATCGGAAGACAGGAAAAGCTAGTTTCGGAGGTAGTTAGCGAAAAAAAAAGAAAGAAATTTATGGCTTTAGAACCGACAGCTAGAAGCGGATATGGCGTCAGTGCTTAGCACAAAGGAAGAGCTCGTGCTAGAAAGGGATGCACTCGTGAAAAAGGTGGAGAGATTGAGTCAAGAATTGACATATCTACTCAATGGGGATCCGAAACGGGTAAGTAACGGTTGTATGATACAACTTGTATCGAACTTGTCATCCGGCAAGTTGCCAAGCAAATAACGAAACCAACAGAACCCCGGTTTAGGTAGTCGAAGACCTCGACAGTTTAATGGCCGAGAATCGATACCTAAAGGCACAACTTGACTCGGCACAAGAAGAACGGCAAACGATCAAGGAGAACCTTGAAAAGTATAAGAGTGTGGCTGAACATGTGGCGGCGAGAAGACAAGCCGAGCTTGGGTCGACTTCAAAGGATGAGGGGGAGAAGCCAACGGTTGCTGTGGTGAATATGAAGCAGAGTGGGTTTGAAAAATACCTTCAAATTCTAAGACAATTACATTTGAGCCATCTATTTTCTCCAAATTTTTGAAGCGCTCACGAAATTCTTAGTGTAATCTCTCATCTCCGATCAAACGGAAAACGATTATAAAGTAAAAACTACTAAAATATGGATAAAATTAGGCCGAAAATGATGAAAGACCTTTAGTTCGTGAGCTGCTCTCGTCGCATTCGATTGATTTGGATGAGAGTGACTATCGAGCCCTTTCAAATGTGCTTCTCGACCTCTGCAACGACAAGCAAATGGCCCTGGCCCATCAGAGAAGGGCCAACAAGTCAGATATCATACAGTCCGAAAGATCTCGACGTTTAGAATTCTTGGCAACCGGCTCTACGAAGTGGAACAGCGACTGCAGGGCCTCGAGGCGGGCAAATCCCCGCGCAGCGTCAGCCCCCGACTGGATGTCATACAAAAGTGATGCAAGAAAACGATATGAACTAAACACTGCCTGTCAGGGCGCGCATGGGGGTGGGGGAGGGCGTGGCCTAGTGGTCTAAGGCGCCGGTCGCAACTCCAGGCAGAGGGTGCTGGTTCGGTTCCTCTGACCGACAGAAGTCCGTTAGGGTTTTGCACTTTTTTGCAAAAGGTACAGAAGGGGATCCAAAACCGATCTAAAGAGAAGCCCAAGCGGAAAATAAAAATTTTTTGCTATTTCCCGGGCTCTAAAGTAGAAATTGTCTCAGATGGTGCCGATTCGCTCAATAAAGGAATATCATAATAACAAAGACATGTACTGCCCAAATTAGCCACAATTTAATGATTTCGAGCCCCTTCATCCGTACAAAGCTGAAAACTTTGACTAGCTTCAGTTGTTCAATTATTAGGATCTCTCATTCCGCACCTTTTTTACTTCCCAGGACCGCAGAAGTACCCAATTTGACAGTGCCGATTCTTTTCCGATAAATATCGGTGAAAAAAACCCGGAAGAATGCGGTTAAACGCAAAGAAAAACGCGGCGCACAAAGCTCGTATTTTCGCAATTTTTCCGGCTTAAATCCTAGATAAATCCTTATTTTCACGCTAAATCACCCTTAATACCCCTCCCATAATGTGCGCAAGAGCCTTCTCTATCTTTCGTATCGGTGGACTCCCCACAACAACGTCGTTTTCAAAAGTTATAGGCATTTGAAGTTGAAAATTTGTGAGTTTTTTTTTGGCCCCTTTCTTTGCCTCTCTCTCGAAAAATCATGGATCGGTAGGCAAGCATAGTGTGCGCGCGGGCATAGGAACGCTACGGAGCGCCCCCACCTCTCATGAGCGCATTTCTTAATATCTGACAGCCAGTGTAAATTTATTAAACCACAGCACATTAATTCCTTTACAAGTATAATTTGTCACATTACACATATATAAAACACTCGTACTTTGGGGGCGGGGTTGGTGGTAGAAGAACTGAAAGGCAATGGGAAGAAGGCACTCATCGAATCCGGGCCACAAAAATAGGATGAAAATGAAATATCTTTTGGCAAAAGGTTGGACTAGACACTCAAAAACATATATTTCCTTGTGGAATAATTATTTCTTCTTTCGGAAAAGGTCCAGATCATCATCCGAGTCATCGAAAAGCGACTTTTTCGGGGCGGTGGAAGTGGTTTTTGGGGCGGGAGGGCGAGAAGTAGCTGAAAAATTTGGTTTATTTTGTGTTAACGAGAGCGTGTTGGCTTTAATACATACTTACTATAGCTTAAAACTTACTAGAAGTAGAGCTCGGCCCAGCCGGGGGTTTCGTATTATCTTTTGTGACCGTGGTGGTGATAACAGACGCTTTTTTCGGGGCGGTTTTCGCGGTTGAGGCAGCTTTTCCTCGGAATAGATCATCATCCGAGCTTTCCGAGTCGAAGAGCGATTTCTTTTTTGGTTGGGTTGGCTCCTGAATGTTGTTTTATGGGTTAAAGTACGGTTTTTAAAGCAAAGCGACTTTTTTAACCTACTTTCGTATCCTGGGATTTGACCGTTTGCGATGTTATGGAAATACGACTTCCGGTCGACCCTTTTCGAACGATCGGAGGACTGAAATATGATTTTAAACTAGAAATTTTGCGGATATTAGTGTTATAGTTATAGGGTTCTACCTGTTTTGTACAGCAGTAACACCCTTTTTGTCCTCATCTCCCCCATGTAGCGAGCTGCGGGAAGAACTGGTCGAGCTCTTCCTCCCGGAAGCTGATCCTCCTTCAGATATCCTGGTGTTCGACAGTTTCCTCTCGATCACCACCTCATCCGATTTGATCGGGCTACTAAAACAAAGGCATGAAAATGTTATAAAAGGTAAAAACCTAGGTAAAACCATGGATTTCGTGGCTCGAGTCTGGATAAGAGACGGATTTCGGCGGAAAATCGGTGCTGATTCCTCTTTCTGATCGGTCGAAGAAGCTCTGGATGAAGTGACAGAGATGGGGCGAGAGCTAGAATGAGGTATACAATGTCATAGCGTAATATCTCAAGCCTATTGATATCCTGTGACAGTCGATTTCGTGTAGTTGGAGGTCTCCTAGGTGGTCCCTTCGGTCTCCCCTTTGCCATTGAGGAGAGCAGGGATGGTTTCTCATCAAATAGTCTCGATTCTGGAGATCGTGGTGGTTGTTCAGAGGCGGCACGACGAAGAGGGGCAGCTGATGAGGATGAGGCTGGGGAGGAGGTGGAGGAGGATGGGGCTCCGGGAGGGCGAGGGCCCTAAAAAGGTAATTTTCGGATCGTTGATTGTGACTTACCCCAGGTGGCATAGCCAGCGCTGCACTGAGCTTCGAGGCAAAAGCCGAATTGTTCAGCTTCCCTCGTGCACCACTCATCTCTTCTGTATCGTCAAGTGTTGTCGTTGGTAGTGGCTGGTCTTCTTTTTCGTCTTTTTCAGCAGGGAATTCGACCTGCTTTTCTTCTTCTAAAAAATGTCATTAAATCGAGACTACGGTAATTATACGATACCTTTCCGACTCAATCGATCGATATCAAAAGGCGGTGGAGAGTAGAGAAGATGATCTGACGGGATCGGAAGTGGAAAATCGGGCTCCTCAGCGGCTGGCGCAAAAGAGGGAGGCCCAAATGGAAGCTCTTCTCTTTCTTCAGGCTCAAATCGGAAAGGAGGCGGAGCTTCGAGAGCTTCTTCTTCTCGGTTTCCCAAAAATGGTGGTGGGACTTCAAGATCCGCTTCTACCGGTTTAGCTACGGTAGCAGGGGGGGATCTAGACTTGGGGAAAGGAGGCGGGGCTTCGGGTTCTGGCTCAAAAACGGGCGGAGCAGGAGGTTTTTCGAGTTCTTCTTCAAATGGAGGTGGTGATACAGTACTTTCTACAGTATCTAGCGGTACTGTAAAAAGGGGCGGGGCTTCGGAAGGCTCAAAAATGGGAGGGGCTTCGGGTTCCGGCTCAAAAACGGGTCGAGTCGAAGGTTCTTCTAACTTTTCTTCGATGCGAGGTGGAGCTACGGTGGATTCTTCCGATTTTTCGGGTACTGCAGGATTTTGTTCTATAGGTTCAGGGTTTGATTCTTGAGGTTCAAAGGGTGGAGGTGAAACTTTAAAGGTGTCTTGCACCTCTGGAATTACGGTAGTTCCCGGTTCAGATTTTTGAGGGTGTTCAGAGGTGTATTCCGGACTTGATTCAACTTCCGGCTCAACGGCTTTACCCTCTGTTTCAGCTGCACTAGCTTCCGAAACCGGATCAGGCTTTACTTCCGGTTTTCCTTGATTTTCTACAGTATCGGTGGATACTGTGGACTTTTGTGGACTCTTTGGACTGTCTGATGTCTCTTCCTTCTCCCCTTTCCTCGCTATTTCCGGGCTAATGATATCCCTAATCAATTCCCGATCGGCCTCTTCGTTTTCTTTCAAAAGTGTCCGTATCGAGTCCTTCAATTCTTCGACCGTTTGCTCCTTCTTTTCCTCGACTTTCACTGGTGATACTGTAGGTTGTACGATGGATTGTTGCGTAGTTTCCGGGGCAGTGTTTTGTGGTTCTTGTTTTGGATGGTCCCCTTTCTTCGGCTCGGGTTTTGTTGGCTTCTTGAAGATATATATTATTCTTAAGATAATTCAAGATACCTTATAAAGTTCGGAATCGCTGTCCGAGTCGTCGAAGAGAGACTTTTTATGGGTGATTTGAGCTGGAGTTGATTTCTTCTCAGGCCTCTCACTCGTCCCAATATACGCTTTGACAGGAAGGAGACGACCCTGAAAATGTTTGTTTTTAAAGGGACAGTGAAGCCAAAATTCGCACTTTTTAGGCTACAAATTACATACCCCAGAGGCCGCCGATTGTTCAGGCTCCTTCTTCGGCTGTTCCGTTTGTTGTTTTGGAGGAGGCTGAGTGACCGGGCGCCTCTGAAATGGATTGTACTGATCGATATGATACTGCAAATGATTGAGAAATTTTCGCTGAAGCTCTTGCTCAAAAATCGATATCTCGGAGCCGGAGGGTGTTTTGAAATAGAGCTTCTAGGAGGGCAATAGAGAGAGAGAGAGAGAGAGAGAGAGAGAGAGAGAGAGAGAGAGGGAGAGAGAGAGTGAGAGTGAGAGCAATAGAGAGGGAGAAACCAAGAATTCATGGCCATATGCTGATAGTTTATGCTTGGTAGATGTTCATGTTGGGGCGAAAGGTTGGGCCATCTGGACAACCAGTTTTTGCAAGCATTTCAGGGGGCAGGCTAGCAGTGATAAATAAGGAATGGCCGAAATACTCTTCCCTCTAAAGGAGACATAAAAACCCAGTGAAAACCCTTAATATAAGTTGTATTGTATTACGCAATGAAAATACAATTTTGCCACCCAAAAAAAATTTTTTTTTGGAAAAAAATTTTTTTTTCCATTCGGGTTGAAAAAAAACAAAAGCCTAGAATCCCAGCCGAGCAAAATGACCCTTCGATCATGTCGATCTCCCGAGAAATGGCACTGAAAAGTGAGCAAAACGTGTAGAGTGAGCAGAAGAAGAGAGAATGGAGTGGGAATGGCCAGTTGAGAATAAATATGGACCGAGTGGACTGGCTAGGAAGGGCTGTAGAACTGACTCATTGTATTCTATGTCTCCCCCCTTATATGCACACATCATCATATTTTTTCTGATCCATTTTTAGCTATTTTTCCAATTGCCCGAGGCTGGAAAACAAAGAAAAATGTGGGTTTTTTATGAATTTTTAATGCGATTGACACATCGACCGTCTTTCCAATATGATAAACAAAGAAAAAAATGGTTAAAAATTATGGAGGGAAGCGTTTGGAATATGGAAAATGGGCAAATTATGCGCATTGGAGAAACGCCATTTTAAAGGGACTGACATGGCTTGAGACCATGGATTTTTATTGGCTAACCATTGCCACAAAAGATCTTGACACGATGTGACATGCAACGCGAGCCTATCACATTGTAATTGCGTAATCGATCACGACACGCTAATAACTGCCGCGTCGCGTCCACGTTGCGTTTCGCAGGCTCGGAAAATCCATAAAAACTTATTATTAAAGGCTTATTTTACTTTGATGTCCCCTTAAAAAGGACAGTAAAAGCACAATATCATCAAATGCATAGCCTATTTGCCTTCAATGTTCCTTTAAAATCTCAAAACCCCTAAGGTCCCCGGTGAAAAGGGGATTTTGATTGACGTCAAGAGGAACGAAAAGGAACAGGTGAGGGGAATTCCAGGACTATTCGACGGTAAATCGGGCAATTTGAGGGGAGAGAGAGAGAGAGAGAGAGAGAGAGAGAGAGAGAGAGAGAGAGAGAAGGAGAAAACAAAAAGCTTAAGTGGCAGAAGAGGGGGATGTTTGTGTGGATTGAGAAGATGCGGGGGAGGAGGAGGAAGAGGAGGTGGTGGAGAATTTACACAAAGAGAGAAAAAGGATCGAGGTAGGCTGAGCGAAAGAGGGTAACTATGCCCTCACGAACCAGTCAATTACCCCTTCAATAACCACACATTACGGCCCCCGGAAATTCCCAAAGAACTTCTGCTAGTTTGCCTTGAAACTGGAGCAACAAAAAGCACGGAAAATGCTCTTTTTGTCTAGTCTTTTTTTCTCAGCAAAATCGCTGCTTGTTTGTTCATGAGTTTGGTTTAACAGTCCTTTAAAAATATAAAATTTTCCAAGAAAGAGCAAGAATTGAGGTCAAATAGTATGGGGTTTAGAGTGGCGAAAGGGGGGGGAAGGCCCTTACAACCTGATGCCACTGGAAGGGGAGGCTCTTCCCTTGGAAGAGAGAGAGAGAGAGAGAGAGAGAGAGAGAGAGAGAGAGAGAGAGGGAGAGACACTCAAGTGACACCCATACAAATACCCACCCACAAAGCCCACTATCATTTACCACCTCTACTCTTTTCACCTAACATGACTCAAGTGGATCTGTGGCAAAAAATATGGGTAAATAAAGCAAAGATTATACTTTAAAGGGGTTTAAAAGTTACATCATTGATACCTGAATTTTCAGCCATTTCAAAAAAATTAAGCTAAAACTGTCAAAATTACCTTGATTGCGGCAAAAAGATCGTCATCGGAATCCGAATCGAAAAGCCCTTTTGTTGTCTTTTTCTGCCTCGTTAATGGCTGGGGCTGAGGCTTTGGAGCCTCAGCTCGTGCTCCAGAACTTTCAGCTTGAGATTGGACCCTGAAAAGATGAGCCTCAAGTTGGGATTTTTGTCAAGTGATGACAATACCCAAATTTCTAGTGTTTTTCGACGATACATGACTTCCAGTTCCATTGAAACGTACCGATTTTCCTGCCTTACAGCAGGTATATCAGCAACAGGTTCAACCGCCCGTTCAGTGACTATTTTCTGTGCACTCTTCTGTGGTGGTGGTGCTCGCTGGGAGATTTTTCGGGCCTTAAAAATCTTCCCTGAACGTTGGCCTCCAACTTACAGCAGCTGAAAACAGATCATCATCCGAATCATCAGAGTCAAACAAAGATTTCTTGGCTGGTTGGGAGATTGACTGAATTGGATGGAGTGAGTTAATGGTAGCTGACGAAGGATTTGATACTTCGAAATCTCGAAAAAACGCGAGTTTACCCTTGAAATCGCCTTTGAGCTTGAGCTCTCCGTAGCTTTCTGTATTTCCGGCATTTTTCTAACGGCTTCTTCTTTCTTTGGAGCTTCAACTTGGGCGATGAGCTTTGGTTTCTCAGCTATCACGGCCCTTTTAGGCTCGACTTTTTCGGGTTGAACGACTGTTTGCTGCACGATCGGCTTGCTTGTCGATGGTTTTTCTTCCTGTTTTTCAGGTTCGGTTCGTTCCGACCTGCAACTTTTTACGTATGAGATTGCGTAGTTTGTAGCCTACCGTACTGAAGGAGGGCCTTCCAGCAGTTTTGGGGCTGGTCCAGGTGGTCTTACTGTAGGACTTTGATCGTCTATGGACTTATTACGAAGGCTTGAGGTGGCACTGAAAATTGGAAGCTTTTGCTCGGAATCCAAGATATAACTAATGATTTGTAAACTCTATAAAAGATCCTTAAAAATCAAAATAAGCAAATTAAAATTAACCTGAGCACATCCGCCAATGAAGGAGCAAAAGCGTTTTTTGGCTTTTCAGGTTGAGAGGGCTAAAAGCATTTTTTTGTGGGTTAGCTTGATTTTTTTTTTGGATACAATAGTGATTTTCAATTTTTTTATGTGGGATACCTTATCTTGGTGGAATTCCTCTGGTTCGGCCTCTTCCTCCAAAAATCTAATACTGGATACGGTCGATTTTTTCGATAGAGAACTATCGAATGGAGATTCGCTTTTTGTTGCCACTCGCTTCTTCTAAACAGTAAGTCTTTTAACTCGTCTCTCTCTCTCTCTCTCTCTCTCTCTCTCTCTCTCTCTTTCTCTTCCAATCTACCGTCAACCCACCGCCTGTGCAAATATGTCCTCTTCATCTGAATCGTCCGAATCGAATAAGCCTCCTTTTCTCGCGGGGGTTACGGTAGGTTTTCTGAAGTTAATTTTGCAATTCCTTAGACTTCAGATCGCGACAGTAAAACTTGAAGTGAAAGTTTAGCTTAAGATTCTTGTATTTTTTGTACGACCTACGGTAGAACCGGTTTGGCTGGAATGACCGGAACAACCGGAATAACAGCCAGTGGAGCTGGCTGGATTACTGTAGCTGTAGTTGCCAAGATTCCTGCTGAAGCTATCGGTTCTTGATCTAAAAATATAGATCTAACTTTACGGTAATTAAGTTTGCTACAATACGTTAGACCATCAAATGTAAAGAAGCTTTTTGGTATGGTACTAACCTGAAAACTCGGGCTCCGGAATTTGGAGAGGAATTTGTTGAGGCGGGACTGGAGGAGGAGGGATTCCTGAAAAGATTGCGAGTTGTAATTCCGGGCTATTATTTGCCTACCGCAATCGATTGGTTGTGGAATTTGTGGAATCGGGTTGTCCACCACTTTCTCAGCCATTTCTGGCAAAACACTGGTGTAGAACTCGGCCGATCCGATCAGATTGGGCTGGCGGAGCTCCTGAAAAGCACAAAATTGAATTAAAGGTCCGTTGAAGTCAAAAAGTTGTGCATTTTCCCGAAATAGCGAACTTTTTAAGCTGGAATTCGGCCAAAAAACCGCGGTCAAGCAATTTCCCTCTTTGTTTTGGCTGACTCACCAGCTCAGATACCCCAATTTTCGAGCCAAAAAAATGGAAAACAAGTCGTTTCTCTATAATTGGCACCGTTCCAAAGTACTTTAAGGGCAAAACTACAAACTAAAGAACATCACAAACCTCATTTCCTAGCCCGGAAGCCGCCAAAAAATTGACGCCGTGCCGGATGGCGTCCCGAAGCGAATTTCGCGTATCGTCATGGGATGGGGTGGCCGGCTAAAAAGCTTTTTTTCAAATTTCCAACGACCGCATTACCGTATGCCTAGACATTTCGGGGCTTGGGGAAGGACGGGTGAGATTTTCTTCGACGATCCGCTGAAAAAGCATTTTTGAAGCTTTTGAGATTTTCTTAGATCCAGGAAACAGTAAAAAACGTACGTGTTCAACGAATTGGCGACTTGCCAACAAATCCAGCCTCCCATTAATGCACTCAACTGTCGCGTCGAGGGAGCTGATCTGAAAATAGCTTGATTTTAGAGGTGAAGATTCAGCCAACATTTTGATTAATGTTGACGAGTCGACCTTGTAGATCTTGGCTTCTCGTCTGGACATGTCGGAGAAGATTTTCGAAGATGGAGCATAGCTAAACGATCAATTTTGGTTGATTTTACGATGTGTCAAATTTAAATTTCATCTTTTTATGATTTCCGGCTTCACCTCCGATACCTGACTATCCTGTTCCAAGGTCCATGGCTCGACGCTACGCAGGGATTCTATTGACGAATTCATTCTTCACCCAAATTCATCAGGGTCTCGACGTTTTTTCCGTGTTTTTTTTGCCTTGTTTGATAACCCCTTCCCTTTGGCGACTACAAACTACACCGCTCGGCCTTTTGATGGTCAAACGGGTGGGTGGGGTACGGTGGCGGGGGCGCGACTTTCGGACCCCGCAGGGTTGGTGGTAGGTATTTAGGTATTTTAAGGTATTAGAAACGTTGTATGTAAAATTCTGGTTGCTTTTTTAGAGACGCAAGGCGTAGGGCTTCAAAAGTCTCATCAGCTATTTTGGTCTCTTTTTAGTTTGCTGGCTTTTTTCCGGTTTTCCGACCGGCTACCGTATCTAAGGGCATACTGTATCCGAAGACCAAAAGAGCAGTTCGAGACCTACCCTGGAATTGGTTAAAATTGAAACTAAAGTAAAAAAAACGCGAGAACAACACAAAATTAGCTAAATTCCCTTAATCATATCCGCCAAAACCAAGGAGCTTGCCGAATTTTCTATTAAATCCCAATTTTTTGATAGATTTTCGTTTTTAGCAGCTACATTACACAAAACTCCTACGTACGTCTGCACTAAACTAGTAAATGTCCGGTTGATTTGGCCTTCGTTCACCCCCGTTTTTGTCGGACGCCACGAAAAACCCTTTTTTCGATTTTCATCATCTTTTCAGCTTTTCCATAGCTTTTCCTCCGATTCTAAACCTCCCGTTCTCCCCTCCCTCCCCATTTTCCGAAATGCATTTCTGAAAAGCGAATGTGAGAGGGTGGGAATTGTATTGATGTGCTGTGTATCATCCTCTGAATCATCCCCCTCCCTTCCATCCCCTTTCTCTCATCCATATATTTCCATTTCATTCAACCGTACAGTTGCGTTCCGTTCCATTCCACCCCCCAAGATCGCCTTAGGCAATCGGAATTGAGTGGCGGATATGCAAAGCGAAGGATCGCAAAGCTACTGGTACAATTTTCAGGTTCTAAAAGTATGGAAAAATGAAGAGAGGGACCATATAGAGCTGTAAGAATTGGAAAAGCACGTCAACAACTCTGTAGATACCTAGATATCGGCGTAATTAGTCAGATTCGTACAGCCAGAACCGAAAGGACTGACCAGACAGTTTCATTTCTTCGTTCCGAGACTCTGGTTCCCTTGTCTGTCTGCAGTTTGATGTCATTTCCAGGCTCTGACTGTCTGTATGTTTGTCTGCCTGTCTCTCTCTCACGCCCTCTCTCTATCTCTCTCTTTTATTTATTCTTTCTAATCGTCTTGTCCTCAACCTAGAATACACACACGAGCTTTCTGTCCCTTTAACCCCCTTGAGGTTAGTTGATGAGTGGCTAACATCAATATAGACGAGAGAATGAGAGAAATAGAGAGAGAGAGAGAGAGAGAGAGAAAGAGAGAAAAAAAGACAGACATACGGTCTGACAGTACGACTAATAGCGCACTAATGGCTCGGTTGTGAGAGACAGACAGACGGAAAGACCTTTCCTTTAGCTCACCCCTCCCTTGTCCCTAAAGTGAAGCCCTAGTACAACCGTTGTCTGGTCCCCATCCCTTTCCATTGGATGTCCAGAGGGCAAGAAGACCTTCCTCCCCTCCATCCAGAGTGCCCCCTCCCCAATAAATCACGCAAAAGCCCCCCAGCTGCCCTCTCTCTCTTTCCTCACCCTTAATTTCACTAGCTCTCTCTCTCTCTGTGTCTCTGTCTGTCTCTCTTTCCCTCTCTCACTCACTCACTATGTCTGCCCTTTGACCGAAACATTGCGGAATTGCGAGAAGCTGATCGATCTGGATCTGGAGGTGATTTGGAACTTTGTAGCTTGTAGTCCCCAATTTTCTAGTGGTTTAAAGGGGTATGGGAAGTCGAATTTGAATACAGTACCCTTTCCAGTCTTCACAGATTGGCTATCCGCAGGCCCCGAAATTCCCGGATAGATTTCCGACTGTCCATTTGAGCTCCGCACGGCCATAATCCGTGGACTAATTTGGACCGAGTCCCCCCATACGCTCAATTTATGCATTGGACATTCGAGGGGAGGGAGTAGAGGAGGGTGGTGGAACATCTGTCCCGCTCTCTCTCTCTCTCTCTCTCTCTCTCTCTCCTCTCTCTCTCCCCCTCTCTTCTGTGTTTAGTCTGGCTTTCGCAGATTCTGAACTGAACGCCAGCCCCCGGTTTCGTTCATTTTGATGATGAGCCCGGGACCGTTCGTTGGTCAGGGTAGGGATCGTTTGTCTGTATGTCTCTCTGGCTCTCTATGACCTTCTCTAGCCTCTTCTCTGTCTCTCTGTCTGTCACTGGATCTATCGTTTTCTCTAGCCTTGTATGTCGCTGTCTGTCTGTCTGAGCATGCCTCTCTCTCTCTTTTTAACTGCCCCCTTCTCTATAGCCTACTCTATAGTCTTATGTCTGTCGGTCTGTCTCTCCCTCTCGTTCGCTCTGGCTCAGTCTCATTCTCCATAGCTCAACTTCTATCTGGCTCTGTCTTTCTCTAGGCCCTTTTCTCTGTCTGATAGAACGTCTGTGTGTCTGTCTCTCTCTCTCTCTCTCTCTCTCTCTCTCTCTCTCTCTCTCTCTCTGACCCGCGATTCGGCGACTGTCCCCGGTCCCTCTCGAGCGAATGATAGGGCGATTCCCCTCCCCTCTCTGTCCCTCCAACTGACCACTCTCTATAGACCACCCGAATCGAGAGATCCCAGACATCCCTCCCCCTCTAGAGAGCCTCTCCCTTGAAGAGAGTCCAGAGAAAGAGAGACTGGCCGGCACAGGGGTGTACGCCCCGCCCCTTTCTTCCCTCTCCTTTCTCTCATTCGTTGCATTGGACACGTTGGTCAGTCGCTGCCCCCTTCCCCCCTTGCCCCCATTCCCCCCTTCCCGTCCTTTCTATTCTAAATACTGCTCATTCGCCCTATTTATCCTAAATATTCGCTTGTAAACAAAAGCCATCAACGATCAACCCGTAGATCCGAACTTGTGTTGGACTGCTAGGAAACGCGAGTTCCATCTCGGGTCGATCGGAACGGCCCCATCCCCTGCCTTCACAACCCCCTTAAACCCATAAAAATCCATACAATGGCTTTAAATCTAAAAATTATCGAATTTTCAGGAGTTACCGTACTCCCCGACAGATTTAGGGTACGGTATCGGCTGTACTATTGATGGGGTCAAATCATCGATTTTTCAAGATTTTAAGGGTTTGGATAAGTGCTTTGGGTGTCAATTTAAAGATCCTGAAAGTATCAGCTCTCCAGGTGTGGGGTATTTAGAGTTATACCCTTAACAGGGTCCAGTCTAGGGTCTAGTGGGGTAGAGGGTAGGGGTAGGGGATGGGGGTTGGGGGTCATTGGGTGACCTCCCCTCTCTCTTTCTCTCTTTCTCTCACTCTTCCCCGAGGGGTATGGGAGGGGGAGGGCGAGAGAGTGGAGAGATAGGGGAGAGTCGAGAGAGACATAGAAGGGGGGATCGGGGGCAGGAGAGGGGTGACCCGGTACCCTGGTACGATCGCCCCCTCAGGGGAACGAGAGAAGAGAGAGAGAGAGACCCCTCAATCGATGGGGGAAGGGGGGAACCAATGGATATATGGCCTCTAGGGCTGTCTGTCTGTCTTGACCCGTGAGTAGTCGGTGTCCCCCTTCCATCGGTCCGTCCTTATCTCTCTCTACCATCATAAAGTCTCTTCTAAGGGGGCGATCGACTACTAGTGGATGGAGAGAGACAGCGGGGCAGAGAGACAGACAGATCGATCGATGGACACGACGATGGACTGCAAAATGTTAGAGTGGAGGTGGACGTGGAAGTCAAAGAATCGAGGATCTGGGACCGTAAAAAGAGTATGAAAGATTCAGAGATTAACAGACAGATAGACATACAGACAGAAAGAAAGACAGACAGAGAGCGAGAATGAGCATGAGAATGAGAAAGAGGGAAAAGATAGCGAGAGAGAGAAAGAGAAAGATACAGGGAGGGAGAGAGACATAGAAAACGAGAGACTCGCGAGTGTTAGAGAGACAGACAGACAAACAAACGAATCGACATACAAACAAATGAACGCTAAAAATCGAGATAAAAAAGCTGTGAGAGGCCTCAGCAAACTTCCAATTTAGATCGATCTGTGCTGAGCTCGAACTCTGCAAAAATGTGTATGATCCCTGCTCCCCCGACTCTCCCACCCTAAGTGCAAAGAGTATTGCAGGGTAGTTGTGTAGACTTGGAGGGGCTGAGAATTTAGCGACTGCTGCCATAGATAACAGCCCGAAAACGTGGCCCCGAAAGAGAGAAGGGTTGAAGAATCGAATTTTGAAGGGGCTTGTTTCGATTGTTCCGCTTTGCAGCTAATAACGGTTATCAGATTTTAATTTATAGACCTTGAAAACGCTAAAATTGGCCTAGTAAATTTTGGTCCAAAAATTTAGTGCAAAATGGCGGAAACACAATTCCATGCCTACCGTAGACGATGGTTTTATTTGGCTGTGGTGATGCTGCTCAATTTTTCGAATGCTAATGTGAGTTTAAGGATCCGAGAGGTCTGATCCCTCTCCCCCCTCTCTCTGTCTCTCGCTCTCTCCCTGTCTCTCTCCCCTCGCTCTCTCTCTCTCTCTCTCTCTCTCTCTCTCTGTCTCTCTTTTATTGAACATCTGGCCGCTTCCTCTCGTGGTTCCATCCCGTGAAAGTGTCCCTCCCAGTTTACGTCCATCGAGCGTAAATTCACTTTCTGAGGGGGTTTAAAGGGCCAGTGAAGGCACGAATCTACGTATCATCTATGGAATATCGACCAAAAGCGGGCTCCAGAGCTGGATATCAGATTTGGCTTTGCGCCAAAGGCGAAGCTGGCGGTTACTTGTTGCCGAGTTCTCTTTAAAGGCTCGCTGAAGGCAAATCCATCCATCCCGGTTTTCCCCTAGAAAACAACCCGATTAGTCGCAACTTTAGCCAGGACAACCTGGTGTGTCGAGAAAAAGCGGGGTGTTGAGTCTTGGAATTTGTGATAAGATAGGAAAAGAGAGGGGAAATGCTCTGGTCGAAAACAGAGACCAGAAAGAGTTGATTTAGCTTGGAAAAGTGTGCAAAAATTTCGAAAAATTTGCTAACTTCTTTTAAAATATCTGTAAATCCATATTTCCGCCAGGAATCTTTGCTGGTCTGCCCTAAAAATGCGGGTTTTAAAGCGAACGTGCCAGCAGAAAAAGAGAAATTTGGAAAAATAACACTCGTTTTTATGCCATAGCCAAAGACAGATGGGACCATCCCTTTAAAATCCCATAAGAATCCACCAAGAATCTCTGCTACCATCCACCAGGAATCTTTGCTAGATGACCCTAAAAATGAAACTTTAAAGGGAGTGTGACAGCAAGAGAAACCGCAAAGTCCTGACAAAAAGTAATACGATTTTCTTACAATTTTTCAGACATGGATCTCGTTCTCGCCCGTGACCTTCGAAACAAAACAATTCTACGACTACTCAAATGCGCCACTCTTCTTCAATACAGTATTCATGGTGCTATCTATCCCAGTTGGATTCATCGCCTGTTGGTGGACTGATCGATTCGGCATCCGGTCGGCTGTCGGTTTTTGTAGCGAACAAATTATTTTATCAAAATTTGGGCCCTATAAATTGATAAAATGAGCGTTTTAGTGTTGGCTCGGAGCGGCGACAAATTTGGCAGGGAATGTCGTCCGTATCCTCGGCTCCATGGATTCGCTTGACAAGAAATGGGTCCGAATTTTCGAGATTTTTAGTTTTTAATAGAATAGAATTCAAATTCAAAAAATTACTACATTTTTAGCTCCGTCTTGCTAGCCTAACAATAAGTAGCAGTATAGGATTTTAAAGTGACTGAAAAAGCGTAAATTTTGGATTACACGGCTTCAAGGGCCCTTAAAATGGCTATGGCTTTTGGAAGAGACGAAAATCGATAATTGCAATCAGCGAGAGAGAGAGAGAGAGAGAGAGAGAGTGCGAGAGTGACCGAAAGAGAGACAGAGATAGAAAGAGAGATTGATTTTTTTTCCCGACATTTCCTGGCCGTTCGATTTCCATCCTCTTGTCAATCGCAGCGTCGATAGGAATGCGCGGAATTCCTCTTAACACCCATCAACAAGTGATCGGAGCGAGAGATATTCGTATTGACAGTTCCACTGCAGGGTCGAGACAGGCTGACAGATTTCACTGACAAATTGCTACTCGAAATCGAACGGGGGTTTTTTGGCAGAAAAATACAGCAATTAAAGGGACCTGGAAGTGTTGGAAAATAGCCATATTCACACATTAATGGCTAGACAACTATCAAAAACCATTAAGGGAAATACAAATTATTTAAAGATTTTAAAACCATATTTTTACCGTTTAGCTTTTAGCGGTTCCCAATAACGTTCACGGGGCAATGCATTGCGGCTTTTGCCCAACCATTTGTCATGTTTCTCCCAACGAAACTGGCCGCTTTTTGGTTCCCGGATGATCAGGTGAGCCTTCGAAAATCCCATGGAATACGGTCATTCCAGCGCAATATAGCAAATACCCTGGGGAGTATGGCGAATCCATTGGGAATTGCTGTGATGTATATGGTGGCTTCGGTATTTGTCAATGAACATCACCCGACCAGGTTTTTCCTCATGGTACGGTAATTCGAATATTTTTTTTACGCGTTAACGTAGTTGACAGCCCACTATAGCCCTAAAAATTCCAGCTTTTTCGTAAAAATAAATTTTTGCTTTATGCAGAGCCAAAATCTCGTATTTTTGGCTCAATTTACTACAAAACTACCGCAGTAATTCTTGAGCGCGAATTATCGTTTGATGCGGTAATCATAACAGCTTTTTTTAGTCAGAATTGGAGTTTGCATCGAATTAGCCTAATGTGAGCCCAGGAAAAATTGACGGGTTTGTTAAAATAGCATCGACTATTTTTCAGAATTCGGTGGTGGGTGGAGTGGCAGTATTTGCGGGTATTATGGCGCTATTCGTCACAAGGAATGAGCCTCCAACCCCAGTTTCTGCTTCGAAAGAAGATATTCTTCCTCCACCACCATTTCTCCAGGTATATACCGTAATCTTCTGTTCCGATTAGGCCACGCCCCTTTGACCGTATCCGTTGGGAATTTTTTAAGGCCGTATAGTCTTGTTCTAACCCAATTTTTCCCGCATATTCCGAATCTGCACCTTCCAGTCCCAATTTGACATAACCCCTATTTCCGAAGACTGTCAACTTTCAGTGTAGCTTTCGGAATTTTCCAGCCAAGCACCGGTTTTTTCTGCTAAATCACACACACAACAATTTATCAAGAACTACAAAACTACTGCAGTAATTCTTGAGCACGAATTAACGTTCGATGCGGTAATTAAAACAGCTTTTTTTAGTTACTTGACAAAACAAATTGCATATTCGAAATCAGCTCGGAAAGCTCTACCATAAATGATTCTACCGTAACCTGAAAGTCTGGTATTAAGGGAGTGAAGCGTTGCTTGAAGTCTCGTCGCTTCGTCATCTTGGCATGCTCACTTGGGGGAGGAGTCGGGCTATTTAATGCCCTTTATAACAATCTACAACCAGCATTGTGTCTAAAGGTATGTACAAATTTTTGATTTAGCTAAATTTTACTTGGGAAAATTGTTTATAGCCTAGTTTTTACTTGTCTGACAGTAGCGTTTGATTAAATTCAGGTTCGATGGCACAGTATAATTTTTAAGGGTTATTCGGAGACATTTTCCGGTGGTATGGGCTCATTATTGATTGTTTCTGGATTGGTTGGAGCTGCTGTTTCTGGGATTATCGTCGATAAGACGGGGAAATTCGAGCAGGTCATGAAGGTATGAGGGGAGAGATAGAGAGAGAGAGAGAGAGAGAGAGAGAGAGGGAGAGAAAGAGAGACAGAGCGATATATATATAGAGAGAAATGCTTATTTAATACCCCTTTAAAATCTATTAATTGCAGATCTCATTTGCCATTGCCGGCCTAGCTGGTTGTAGTTTATCAATCGCAATTAACTATGAGGTAAAGTACCCTTTAAGTTTTCGAGAAACCCAGAAATTAATCAATTTCCCCGCGAAATCCTTCCTTTTGCAGAACCAACCGTGGTGGGTAGTGGCATCAATCTGTGGTTTTGGCTGTTTCGGCTTTGCCATCTATCCAATTGGACTGGAATTAGGAGTGGAATGTACCTATCCGGTGGCTGAGGCCACATCAACTGGGCTGATTATTATGATCGGGTAAGTGAGGGATAGACAATTAAGCATTAAAGAAGGTTATTTTAGGGTTGGAAAGCCATTTATAAAGATTCTATTGTTTATGGGTTCCATATGATTTTTATCGCGCTAGTCATTTAAGGGTTTTGAAGCTTCGTGATCCATTACGCTATGGAAAGGCCGGCAAGTGCGTTGTTTGTCGCGGTCCAAAATTATAGGAAAGCCATAGCCCTGCCTTGCCGGTCCCTTTAAAAGGATAGGAACTAAAGCGAGATAGAAATGATTTTTCAAAAAAGCAGATTTTTCAGTACGGTAACCTATTCCAATCCGCAAAAGCGTAAAATCGTTTATATTTGGTTTTCTAGTCCCTTTAAAACATCAAAAATATGTTTATTGATCCATTTCCAGGCAAATCCTGGGCGTAATCTTCGTGGTGACAACAAACCTGGCAAATGGTACCCCATCCCCTCGTGAATTGGCCATACAAACATGTGTCACGCATAATGAAGATATGGATACGGTACTCACGTGGAAATGTACGTTTTTTACTGTATTTTTGCGCATTTAAAAGTTTAATTTCATAAATCTATTTTATTTATTTATTTTTATAAAGCTTTTATTAATTTAAAAGTTTGGTTATTGGTTTGGCTGTTATTAACTTAATTAAAATGTTTAGTCAGTTAGCTTTATCGTCTTTTTCAGACCCATTCATCATTTGGAATGGATTCGTGACAATCGGGATCGCGACGTTTCTGGCAATATTCTGGCCTCGATATAAGAGAAGAGCTTATGAAGCACAGAGGAAACAGATACAGATGGAGAAATAGAAGAGGGGAATTGAGAAGAGGGAACGGATACTACTGTATTGTACAAAATGGGCAGCCATCTATTAGGGACAGAGAGAGAATAAATCGATTTATTCTTGTTCACACTGTAATTTCTATGTACTAAAAGCGTGATGGAGAGACAGAGAGAGACAGAGATAGCGATAAAGAGAGAGAGAACGAAAGAGAGACAGAGAGAGAAAGAGAGACGATGCTTCATGTTTCGCGTAAGAAACTATGCCTAACACATCTTGCCCTTTAAACACATGATTTATTGAAGAAAAATTGGATATTGATGTCTTGAATGTTTCAATATAATTAGGAAATGAAGCCCAAGGTGCCGAGAACCATTGCGACAAGTCCTCCTCCGACAGCTACAGTAAACCCGGCAGTGGCAGCGAGTACACCTCCAATTCCGCCTTCTCTCCAAGTATACGATGGTAGTGGAGGACGTGGTGCAGTTTTTTCGTCTTGATCCATCTAGAAATATTGGATGATTTAAGGCACAATCAGCAATATACACGCAAATTAAACGAAAATATATCTGGCCATGTCACCAGTCAGTCCAATTAGCATGAAAACCGGTCTAAAAAGTTTATTGAGATAGAAAAATTTCAGTTATAGTGCTGAGTTGGGTAATTCAGGGAGTCGGGGCGACACCAACGGCCAGACATCCCGTGACACAGGCTTCGAGACAGGCTGGAACTCCGACGGCTCCGAGTCCACCGGTGGTGATAACTGCAGCACCCGAACATACTCCTGTGCAACCTAAATATACTCATCAATTATTTAAAGTAAACAATATTTTGGTTGACATTCTAGCAAAGCGACTCATCGAAAACGGACTGTTTTTCAAGCCTGGATTTGTCTTTCTAGCTTCCTTGAAAAATTTTTTTTGCCTTTTTGAATGCCGTTAGTATAGAATAGGATAGAAGTATAGAATTTGTTAATGCGTTAGTAAAAACACTGACTTCCTACGCAAAAGAAATAGGCCAACGGCCCCGCAAATGAACGGTTGATGAACACAGCCAGGAGGAGAAGCGGAAGCAGCAGTGTGTGTCGTGTCATGTTTGAGAATGGGCAGGGCGCTCACCTCCCGGAATCCACGCCTTTTTATGCGCTCGTCCATCATTGCGCCAGAGATTTTGTTTTCACCTCTTCTGAGCAAGCTAGATTACAGCGTTTGCGAAAGAAGGCTGAATCACGCGAGTTTTTGCTTCTAGAAATTTTTCCTCGCAATGAAACGCCAAAAATCTTCCTTTCTGAGATACCAGAAAATCGTTGCATCAGGAGATCTGAATACGCTGCGCTTGATCATCTGTCTTGGACGTCTTCTGGGGACCAGATAACAATATTTGCAAGAGATGAAAAGACCCGGGGAATGCGTTTCGGTATTTTGCTCGCAAGAAAAAACCCTCTATTTTCGAATCATCTGGGTTTGAAACTTTCAGGCAGATAGGAATAGGCTTTTGTGCCCCATCATGCTTCTTTCTATCGCCAGCTATGTGATAAGCAAAAGCAAATTTGCAATGGTTTTGAGCTTTGGAACCTTTTGCTCGTGTTCTGGAATTTTCTGCGCATTCAGTCGAGGTGAGAAATTTTTGAATTAATTTGAAAATTTCGTAATTGTTGTTTTGTGGCTCTTGAGTAACTTAACTAACGGGTAGCTTTTTGCCATGCTTGAAACCTAGCTGTTTATGACGTTTTATTCAGATGTCAGAGACAATAACAACCCGCAGAAACACATGTTTGAAATGTAAAAATAAATAATTTTCCCCTTTTCCCCCCCCCCCCCCCCCCCCCCCCCCCCCCCCCCCCCCTCTTTTTTTTTTTTTTCCCCCACAATCAATAATAGAAACTTATAAAAAGGCAGTAAAAATGGGATTACGCATTGGACATGTATTCTGTTTTGCATTCTTCTAAGCCACTCCTCTAATACATTTCATATGTGCTTTAAATACCTGTATTAATAGAAGAGATTTCAAATGGGAAGAAGCTCTTTTAGATATAGAAGGGGATAGAGACCATTCTTTCAATAATATCCCATTTTCATCATATTCCTCTAGGGGATGACCATCAATAAATGGCATTTGTTGGAGAAGAGGTAGAGATTCTGCTGCACACCATACATCCATCGATTCTCTCCACGTGACTGGGCTGAAAATAGGCTATAAACTATCATCCAAAATCATTAAAAATTCAAATACGAGTTGCAATATGTTTTTGGCCGTTTTGAAACTTTTTTTACTGACCTACAGTACCCAACATTTTTCCATTTTCGCAGGGAAAATCGTGAGAATAACTTGTGGATATTTGTGTGGTCGATGCAGATCTCTCTGGCTGGACATTCCTCATCACGACGACATAAGATATCAACAAACAGATCCTGAAAAAGATTGATGAGAAAGTTTGGATCCAAGGGTCTGTGCTAGCTTGCCTGGAAAACGCGCTTTCCCAACCAATCTTTGCTAGCTGACCCGTTAGCTAGCTCGAGCGTTTCCTGGGAGGGATTTCCTGGGGCGTCTTTGCTACCCTGCCTAAGCTTCGCCCGCTTTCTAAAAGTTCACTGCTAGCCGCGCTATGCTCTCTGCTAGCCTGCCAGGCCTCTCTCTATAACCCGCCCCACCTACCGTAATCTGCACAAAGGCGGCCTCCCTCTGTGAGTATGTCCTATCTTTATTGCATTCCATACATTCAAGAAATGTCTCTTCCGCATCTTCCAATAATAGATACCGCAGCATCTCCCGGAATAGGATATTTTGACTGGAAATCACGTTATTAAATGCACAATGCAGATGTGACTGTCCCTTTAAAGTCACTGACCGTATACTTTCCGGTCTTACGGTCCTTTGCCCATGTTTTAACGTATATAAGGACGGATTGTTTCGTAGTATTCGATCTTCAATTTGTTGCTCATAATATGAGGTATGATTGCATTGATTTTTGAGGGATCCGCTATAACTCTTTAGATGAAAAATTGCCTATTACATACCGTAATTCGTGGAATTCAGGTTGTTCTTCCTCCTGGTCTCCTGATCGAGTATCACTTGGTAATAGACAAACCCCAAGTGGGGCTTCATTCAATATAGATATCCTGGGGATATTAGTGGAGAGATTATGACATTCCCATCCGGGGAGACACGTATCTGATGAGGTGGGCTGACACTGAAAATAGATAGACGATCTATAGGGACCCGGAAGTCATGCAGTTGGATATGTGGTTATGGATGTTAGGAATCCTGGCGATTTTGCCACCCGCAATGCGATACGCAATGGGACACGCGACGCAATACTAAACGCACTACGCCACGCGACTCCCACGGGATTCGAAGCGCGACGAGCAATGCCAAACATGAAACGCCGCCCGACCGCTACGTACTATAAAGTGCAAACGCGCCGCAACGCGCATCCGGTCGTTTTTTGCCCTAAAGAAAGGCAAATCCGCTACGCAATAGGATGCTGCGTATGGCGGGCGCGGAAAAATCCAGCGTCATCCCTAGCATGCCTTCCCGTCCTTTAGAAAAGGTTTAGATTCAGAAATTCTATGCTTTAAAAATCAATGTAAACGATCAGTTATGGGAATTCTGTTAGCGGGCCTAATTAGGTCCTTTTTTGCCAGGTTATGAATAGCTAGCAAAGAACATTTCTAGACAAATGGCGTATAACTTACCAGACTCGCGAAAAGGGGCTTGAGTATTACGAAAAAGTAGAAGCAAGCGCCAAGCATGGCCGACCACCCAACCAAAAAAAGTGTCGCACCACCGAACGGACGCCCCGGGGAATGTGATCTTTATAAACGAGACACAGATGTGTTCTCTTCCTTCTGTATTTCTCTCTCACACTTGCTCTCTCTTACTCTCTGTGTCTCTGTCTTTCCCTCCTTTAGTTCTCAAATGACACTCCAAAAATTGAGCCCGACACCTTTTCTGTCAAATTTCACCCAAAATCACGCATTTTCCTACCAAAATATTTATTCGAAATACGATGATTTACAAAAAAGCGAATAAAAATGGGGAGAGGAAGGCACAACGGAACTGTGACCCTTGCCAGGGAGGCAAAATAGGGGAAAAAAAGAATGGGGGCAAGAGACCATAAGGAAAATCTTGGGGGTAATGGATCCGCGTTTTGCACTTTAAAGGTACTTAGAAGACAATTTCGACTTACAACGTATTCTTAGGCCAAAACTTGATGGTTTTTTGCCTTCGCAAGACCCTTAAAAGACGAAATACGGCTGGGGGAATACTGTAGCGGGTGAAAATCTCGTTTTGTAGGGGTTTATAGAAAAAAGAGGCAATTCAGCTTTTAAAGGGCCGTTGAAGACTGGTTTTCATAGATTCTACACTAAGATTTAATTTCTCAGTGAAAATTGATTTTTTTTAGCTAAAGTCCAGCCTTCTCGGTCCTTTTAAAAGAAATTCTGCCATGATTTATGCGTTGAGTGGTTGCAATTCAACGGGAGCCGTGCGGGTCTCCCTCTCGATCTCCCAGGCGCGGATACGCTTCAGGGGGACACAGACAAGACCTGCAAATTATTAAGATGTTGAATTTTCGGCTAAAAATTTCAAGGAATTTAAGAATGGCAAAATCGGGCATTTAGGCCCTTTATTTACACAAAAAAAAACTCGAGAAAGCTGGAATTTTTTCTGATAATTTTAGCTGATTTAAATTTAGAAAGTCTTTTAGTTTTTTTTCTTCTCTTTCAGATCACAAAAAGCGTAAAAAATCGCGAAATACCCACCAGAAAGCACCATCAGCGATCCCATGACGTAGAAGCTCAGGTCGAAATTGCCCGAGAAATCCTTGATGATCGCTGAAAACGGGGCATGGCTTTTTTTACTTAGCTGTCGCCACCCCTTTAAAGGGTCGATGAAGCCTTGTCGGTCCCTTTAAAGGCTCATTAAAGCCAACTGACCAGCACAGGGAGATCCGAGGAGAGCGCCGAAGCCCATGAATAACATCAGGGTACCGAATGAAGAGGACAGCTTCTGAGTACCCCACAAATCCACACACATCACCGAGCGAAGAGCTGCGAAACAGGCTGAAATTGAAAATTGTCATATCTTGTAGTAAATCTATTATCAATGAAATATCCAAAATTTTCAAAAAATCGAAATTTTTGTTATTTTCCGTCAATAACATATTATTTTCGTAGCTAATTCACTACTTACCAATTCCGAAGGCGAACGGCACGGTGAAGGCGATGAAATTCCAATAATGAGAGAAGAGCGGGACGGCAACCATGATTGAACCAGCACCCATTAATGCAATAGCTGAGACCAGGGATGAATCGATATCCGGACTGTCGGAGATACGTCTGAAAATGGGGGTGTAATTGATTACGATCGTTTATTCAGAAGAGATTTCTGCTAGCTTGCCATTTGCTAGTGCAAACAGTTCGAGATTTACCGATTTTTTTCGCATAAATGGTCTCTGCTAGCTTGCCACAAGTTCTGAGGCCGATTTATGCTTTCCAAAAAAGGTCTCTGCTAGCTTGCCAAGAAGCCCTGCTAGCTAGCCTCGAGGAGTGGTTCTTCCCAGTAGTTTCCCTAGGAACCCCTTCTAGCCTGCCCGCCAATTTTGTTTGGCCTCAAATGGTCTCTGCTAGTTTGCCTTGACGGGTTTTTCCGCGAAACCATTTTAACAATGGAGTTTCCTGTCCTAAATTGTCTCTGCTAGCCTCCCCAAGCTAAATTTTTCGCAGTTTCCTGCAAAAATCCAAAAAAATCGCAAAATTACCGTACCCGCACAAGATCCTGAAGCCAATGTTGACAAAGCCAAGGACAGTAATGGGCATATCCTTCTGTAGTACCGTATATGTCTCGTTCGAATGGGCCTCGACGCTGGAAAAGATTGATGCATTAATGAGAGGTGATAAGGGCTTACCGATCGACGTGTTTTCCAAGGAATGCAAATGGGACATAGAAACATGTCATTGTCAAGAATCCGGAGAGGGCCAGCAGAAGGAATGACGGACGGCGCATCTGTTCCATATCAACCATTCCCTTCAGGAACTAAAAAATAAAGTTTTTAGGTTGGCCTTTAACGCTCCTTGAAAATTATTTTATAGGCAAAGTTCTTTAAAGGACAGGTTTTTCGAATTTTAGCGAATTTGATCATCCGAAAACACCGAAAACCCCAGCTTCTCCCTACCTCCTTAACAGCAGTGAATGTTCCAGTCTTTGGCGAGGCAATGCTGAGCTGAGATCGACGGGTATCACGAAGGAATGCCTCTTTGTCGACGGCAGAAGCTGTAAAATGTTTCATAGCAAAACTGGTTGTAGTCTGTAGTTCTGTTATTCATTCCAAATGACGTACCAGAAGCAGTCCTCTCCCTTTGATTGAGTGATGATGTACTGCCCGGATAGAAGGCGTCCGACTTGGCCAATGGATTGTTCACCTCCTGCAGCACTTCCCGGGCCACCTCCTTGGCCTTCTCGTGCTCCGACCACACCTTGTCGCCTCCCTAAAATTTCAAGATACAGTTAGATTTTCTAAAAGCTTCCCCAAGCGCTGTAGGGTTGGCTTCGCTCGTATTTTGAGGCTATAAGAACTAGAAAAAGTCAAAATTTCGAGAGATTTCAAGCTTTTGGGGGAAATTTCAAACCGCAGTAGGCTAATTTTAACCTGGCCAATTTTTGGCACGGTGCCATAAGAGGGCGGAAACTAAATTAGAAAAATTAATGTTTACAGAAAAATAATTTTTCGGTTTAAAAATTTCAGAACAGTCTATCTCCCTGAAAAATTTTTATCCCCAAAGAATCTCTGCTAGCCTACCCCGTGACGATTTTTAACTGGGAATTCCTTTAAATTTTTGCTATTACCTGATGCTCAGCCTCTTGCTCCATTTTGGCGAGGAATGGATGCTCAGGGTTGGCCTTGTCACCTTCCAAATGTTCGATTTGCTGAAATTCACACCATTTTTGACTGTCGATCGTTTTTTGCTCGAAATCCACGAGTTTCTGCCTTCAACGACCCTTTAAAAGCAGAACTCTGATAGATACCTTAGTCTTTTCATACTTCTCGACAATAGCAGCAGCCTGTTCGACTTGAGCATCAGTTGGTTGGAGGGGACGATATAGGAGGCCCGAGATGATTCCAATCAATGAACATCCTGCCAGGTAGAAGAAGAAATAACGCCAGTTATTATCCGTGTATTGGAGCACGAGCGAGTTCAGCTGAAACAAAGGAGCATGAGAAAACAATTTCCAATTTCTGGGAGCGCAAGAGAGAGAAATACAGAAAGAGCTAGAGATAGAGAGAGTGAGAGAGAGAAGAGGGGAGAAAGAAAGAGAGAGATAGAGAGAGAGAGAGAAAGAGAGAGAGACTGAGAAAAATCTATAAATTTTATCTTAACTGACATTAGCAAACAACGAAGTCCCAATCCCAGATCCACAAACGGCCAACCCAGTAGCAAAAGCACGTTTTTGCGAGAAATACTGGGAAATGACGACGATTGCCGGCAGATACATCAACCCGAATCCGACGCCTAAATTGAGATATTGGTGTTTTCACGCTGAATCCCTTTAATCAACCAAAATCTGTACCTCCAATAATTCCATAGGTCAGGTAGATGATCTCGATCCGATCGGCGAACGTCGAGGCAACGAATCCAAAGGCGGCCACACACGCCCCAACGATTGTCACGAAACGGCAGCCGTAGCGGATGGAAAGGGCCGAGGCGAGGGGGCCTAGAAAATAAGGGATTTCATGGCGTAATTGGTTTTTAAAGGATTTCTGCTAAATTGCCTAGGAATTTCTGAACATTTGGTTCGGAACTTTGGCTCGGCATCAATTTCCTAAAGGGACTTTGCTAGCTTGCACTTGCGCGCAAATTTTCTGCTAGTTTGCCTATCCTTTGTGGATTGTGCTCTTCCAAGGATCTCTGCTAGATTGCCTGATTTCCATAGGTTTTCGACTCTTATAGATTTTTCCAAGGATCTCTGCTGGATCACCTTGTTACAAAGACTGGCAATTTTTTTTAGACTGCCAGACCCGGTTAATCAATTCTCCCAGGATCTCTGCTAGCACCCCCGCTTTCATAAGCTAATAACTTTTTCTAGTCTTTTCTAAGGATCTGTGCTATTTTGCATGACGGATCGCGCTAAAACCGCGCTCTAGCCTTTGAGATTCCTCCAAAGAACCCCTGCTAGCCTGCCCAATTTTCAACTTTAAATTCCGTACCTGACAGCAAATATCCTCCCTGCATCAACGAATGGGCAAGCGAGACACGAGAATCAGACGATAGAAAGGCACCCTTGAGAAGAGGAGTACACGAAGCTGGGGCTGTGAAGATTACTCCGTCAACTACCACATTCGCCAGAAAAGAAGCGGCAACTATCACCCAGCCATAGCCACCTGAAAGGGGGGATTCTCTAGGGATTTGCGCTTGATACCCACCATCCGGGATCTGGACGGTTCCGACTTCTTCCAGCTTCTTTTCGACTTCTTCTTCATCTCCATCTTTTGGAGATTGGGCCGCGATTTCGTACTTCTTCGTACCCATAGCTGGAATAGGGAAATTACAGAGAGAGAGAGAGAGAGAGAGAGAGAGAGAGTGTGAGAGAGAGAGAGAGCGAGAGAGAGAGAGCGAAAAACGCTCTATAAACCCATTTCTATGATTTTTTTCTGAAAATGGCAACAGGCGCATTGGGTGCAGAACAAGGTGGATAAGCCGATATTCGAGAGCACACAAAAACTGATAAGTGGCCGAAGGCGAGATGGGTCAAC